GTAAGTCGACATTATTTTCCAATCGGATTTCAGATTTTTTTTCAGGATTATAAAAAAGGGGATTTATTTACATTAAATTTTCACCTGATTAGATATTTTGAAATTAACACTGAGACTCTACCTTAACAAGATACTAGATTTCACTTAACACCAGTTAGGAGACAAAATTAACACTGAGACTCTACCTTAACTAGATACGTTCATAGCTTTACCAGTTGGAGAACCAAAATTAACACTGAGACTCTACCTTAACTAGATACCTTCATATGCCTGAGTTGGAGACAAAATTAACGCCAGACTCTACCTTAACAAAGATACCTTCACTTAACACCAGTTAGGAGACAAAATTAACACTGAGACTCTACCTTAACGAGATACGTTCACTTAACACCAGTTAGGAGACAAAATTAACACTGAGACTCTACCTTAACGAGATACGTTCACTTAACACCAGTTAGGAGACAAAATTAACACTGAGACTCTACCTTAACTAGATACGTTCACTTAACACCAGTTAGGAGACAAAATTAACACTGAGACTCTACCTTAACGAGATACGTTCACTTAACACCAGTTAGGAGACAAAATTAACACTGAGACTCTACCTTAACGAGATACGTTCACTTAACACCAGTTAGGAGACAAAATTAACACTGAGACTCTACCTTAACTAGATATGTTCACTTAACACCAGTTAGGAGACAAAATTAACACTGAGACTCTACCTTAACGAGATACGTTCACTTAACACCAGTTAGGAGACAAAATTAACACTGAGACTCTACCTTAACGAGATACGTTCACTTAACACCAGTTAGGAGACAAAATTAACACTGAGACTCTACCTTAACTAGATACGTTCACTTAACACCAGTTAGGAGACAAAATTAACACTGAGACTCTAATTAACAAGATACCTTCACTTTAACACCAGTTAGGAGACAAAATTACCGAGACTCTACCTTAACTAGATACCTTCACTTAACAATTCAGTTAGGGCACAAAATTAACACTGACTCTTACTCCTTTAACTAGATAATTCTTCACTTAACACCAGTTAGAGACAAAAATTAACACTGAGACTCTCTACTTAACTAGATACCTTCACTTTTAACACCAGTTAGGAGACAAAATTAACACTGAGACTCTACCTAACAAGATACTCTCACTTAACACCAGTTAAGACAAAAATTAACACTGAGACTCTACCTTAACAAGATACCTTCTACTTAACACCAGTTAGAGACAAAATTAACACTGAGACTCTACCTTAACTAGATACCTTCACTTAACACCAGTTAGGAGACAAAATTAACACTGAGACTCTACCTTAACAAGATACCTTCACTTAACACCAGTTAGGAGACAAAATTAACACTGAGACTCTACCTTAACAAGATACCTTCACATAACACCAGTTAGGAGACAAAATTAACACTGAGACTCTACCTTAACAAGATACCTTCACTTAACACCAGTTAGGAGACAAAATTAACACTGAGACTCTACCTTAACTAGATGCATTCACTTAACACCAGTTAGGAGACAAAATTAACACTGAGACTCTACCTTAACAAGATACCTTCACTTAACACCAGTTAGGAGACAAAATTAACACTGAGACTCTACCTTAACAAGATACCTTCACATAACACCAGTTAGGAGACAAAATTAACACTGAGACTCTACCTTAACAAGATACCTTCACTTAACACCAGTTAGGAGACAAAATTAACACTGAGACTCTACCTTAACTAGATGCATTCACTTAACACCAGTTAGGAGACAAAATTAACACTGAGACTCTACCTTAACAAGATACCTTCACTTAACACCAGTTAGGAGACAAAATTAACACTGAGATCACTTAACTAGATACCTTCACTTAACACCAGTTAGGAGACAAAATTAACACTGAGACTTACCTTAACTAGATACCTTCACTTAACACCCAGTTAGAGACAAAATAACACTGAGACTCTACCTTAACTAGAGGCTTTCACTTAAATAACACCAGTTAGGAGACAAAATTAACACTGAGACTCTACCTTAACTAGATACGTTCACTTAACACCAGTTAGGAGACAAAATTAACACTGAGACTCTACCTTAACTAGATACGTTCACTTAACACCAGTTAGGAGACAAAATTAACACTGAGACTCTACCTTAACTAGATACGTTCACTTAGCACCAGTTAGGAGACAAAATATGGGTAGGGTAGGTCAGTTCATGTTAGGCTAACGTATCTAGTTAAGGTAGAGTCTCAGCGTATTTCTGCTGACATTATTTTATCGTATATTCGTGTTTTACCTCAAGTCAACCACTTAAGTGTAAAATTAGATTTCACTTACGAGGAATACAAGGCCAAATATTCTCACACACACACAACCCACCCAACTATACACACACAACCCACCCGACTATACACACACACACACAACCCACCCGACTATACACACACACACACAAAACCCACCCGACCATACACACGCACACACACACACACTCAACACTATTGATAATAATATAATAGCGACTATTAAATAGCCAAACCTAACCACACGTATAAATAGTTTATAATGGCATCTGATAATAGGCTATTTACCTGTGTGTGTGTGTGTGTGTGTGTGTGTGTGTGTGTGTGTGTGTGTTTCTGTCTGTATATCTATGTGTGTGTAGGCATGTATATGTGTGTGTGTGTGTGTGTGTGTGTGTGTGTGTGTGTGTGTGTGTGTGTGTGTTTCTGTCTGTATATCTATGTGTGTGTGTAGGCATGTATGTATGTGTGTGTGTGTGTGTGTGTGTGTGTGTGTGTGTGTGTGTGTGTGTTTTGGGTTCGTATATCTATGTGTGTGTGTGTGTGGCATGCATGTATGTGTGTGTGTGTGTGTGTGTGTGTGTGTGTGTGTGTGTGTGTTTCTGTCTGTATATCTGTGTATGTGTGTGTAGGCATGTATGCATGTGTGTGTGTGTGTGAGGTGTGTGTGTTGTACATCTGTGTGTGTGTGTGTAGGCATGTGTGTGTGTGTGTGTGTGTGTCTGTATATCTATGTGTAAGTGTAGGCATGTATGTATGTATGTGTGTGGTGTGTGTGTTTAGCGGTCTAGGAGTACACCTGTGGGTGAGCTGAAGATTAACACCCCCCAGTTAATTTACCTTAAGATTCACCACCTTAATGTTAACTTAACCTAACCTAACATTTAACTAACACAGACACTAAATTAACCTAACTTAATCTAACACTAATCTAACCCTAGCTTACGTAACCTAAGGCTAACCTAACAGTAACATAACCTAACCAAAAGCTAATCTAACCTAACAGTAACCTAACCTAACCTAACCTAACAGTAACCTAACCAAAAGCTAATCTAACCTAACAGTAACCTAACCTAACCAAAAGCTAATCTAACCTAACAGTAACCTAACCTAACCAAAAGCTAACCTAACCTAACAGTAACCTAACCAAAAGCTAACCTAACCTAAAAGTAACCTAACCAAATGCTAATCTAACCTAACATTAACTTAACCTAACAAAGTTTCCCAAACCAGTTCCCAATATCCAAATAAGTCCCCCAAAAACAAGATCCCAAAAGTTCCCAAAACAAGTCCCCAAATTCAAGTTCCAATTACCTAAAGTTTCCATACCAATTTCCTATTACAATTTCCCAAGTTTTCCCCAATTGCAAGTCGTTTAAGTTTCCCATTGCCATAGTGACCGACATGCCTTTGTTATATTGGACATAAAGTTAATATTGGGAACGAATTTCTCTCTTGGGGTAAAAATTAATTCAAATTCCTGTGTGGATTTTTTAGGCTGTGGTTAATGGTGGTTGAATGTTGTTGTTTTTGTTGTTGTTATTGTTGTTATTGTTGTTGTTATTGACGTTGCTGTTACCTGTGTTATTAATGTTATTCTAGTTCATTGATGAATAAATATATACCTTTTCGTCATTGTCATTGTTGTAAAATTTATCATTACTTGAATTATTATTATTACTAAAACAGTTTCACACACCCAAAATAAAACAGAAGACAGGATCAACACACAAACACACACACACACACCAGGGAAGTGACTATGTGTGTGTGTGTGTGTGTGTGTGTGTGTGTACCTTCTCTAAAGACCTCACTTGTTCAAACTCGTAAAAAATGACCTAACAACAACATTACCTACATAAAAGCCAACTTGTATTTTATTCACTTTTCTTTTGTTCCATTACAATGTTTTTGTTTGTGTTAAGGTCCGTTTGTGCAACATTTACTAACTTTTACCACTATAATACATTTTTTTCGCAAAGTTGTTATGAAACATCACCTAAATTAGGAGAAAAATTGAACTTAGGAACCTTTGAGAATCCATCTTTGTGTGGTAGCTTAAAGTGAGTCAGTTAGATACGTTCTCACATCACCAGTTAGGAGGAAAATTGAACTTAGGAACCTTTGAGAATCCATCTTTGTGTGGTAGCTTAAGTGAGTCAGTTAGATACGTTCTCACATCACCAGTTAGGAGGAAAATTGAACTTAGGAACCTTTGAGAATCCATCTTTGTGTGGTAGCTTAAGTGAGTCAGTTAGATACGTTCTCACATCACCAGTTAGGAGGAAAATTGAACTTAGGAACCTTTGAGAATCCATCTTTGTGTGGTAGCTTAAGTGAGTCAGTTAGATACGTTCTCACATCACCAGTTAGGAGGAAAATTGAACTTAGGAACCTTTGAGAATCCATCTTTGTGTGGTAGCTTAAGTGAGTCTGTTAGATACGTTCTCACATCACCAGTTAGGAGGAAAATTGAACTTAGGAACCTTTGAGAATCCATCTTTGTGTGGTAGCTTAAGTGAGTCAGTTAGATACGTTCTCACATCACCAGTTAGGAGAGGAAAAATTATCATACGAACCTTTGACAATCCAGGCGGAACAATCCTACCAGAGGTAAGATTCTAAATTACCTGAGGTGGGTCACAGGTGTACCGTCGTCTTGTGACAAAGTGGCGCTCTT